ACTCATGAATTATGTATACATGACATGTATGAATGTTAAGGTTGACTTTACTTGTTACAAGTTATGAATATGAATGTTTCCTTGTATATGGATATTAGCTATGAATAAGGTCAAGGTATGATATGCATGATGTTGGTGGCCTAAAAGTGGTACTTGGAATATGGCTGGGTTATGGGATCTTGCCTTTGCATTGCACTAGTATAGCTTTGGGATTGCTTATGATATGTTTTGACTTATGTTCTTTTATAAATGTGCATAATGGATTTTAAACTTAATAAATGCATGGTTTCAACTAAATGTCCCTTTTATGCATGTTTTAAGGATTTTTATGCATGACTTCCATACTTAGTACTTATGTGCTAACCCATATTTCTACATTTTCTTAAAAGTGTAGGTTCCGATCGTTGAGGCATACTTCTTCTTTCAAGTGAAGTTTGGGTTAACTATTCCCTAAGCTTGGTGAGTCCTCATGGTCTGAGGACAAGACATTATTCATTTCTAGTTCCTTTGCATTTTCTATTTTGTAGCCTATGTTGTAAAAAGGGGTGTGGCCCTTATTTGACTCTCTATTGTATTCGGTTGTTGTAGATGGTGATTGAGACAAAGGTCTAGACTCTTATATTGCTTTTATGAGAAAGACTTCTATTGTAAAAAGTTTTAATTCCGCATCATTTTTATGACTTTATGTTTATGATTATGCTAAGGGCTTGTATGAGACCCCTTCGGGGTCAAGTACACCGTGTTGCTCCTAGGGGGTATCCCCGGGTCGTGACAAACTTGGTATCATATACTGCAGGTTATGTAATTAACATCCGAATAAATGTAATTCTAGTTACTGGCGAGTATATGTCGAAAAAATCAAGACCTTATTCTTGTCTAAAAAGCTTTGACAAAAGTCTTGTTTTGTATTTGTCAACAGTTCCATCAACTTTCATTTTTCCTTCTGAAAATTCACTTTGAACCCAAAGGTTTATTTCCTGGAGGAAGAACAACAAAGTTCCAATAGGATTGCTTAAGATTGAATCAATCTCACTATTGACACCATCTTTTCAAAAGGATGAGTCCACAAAAGACATAGGAAATGTTACAAAATCATATCCGAAGGAAATATGTCCTTTGAATTTTAGTACCCCTATGTATATCTTTATTAAGTACATTCTCCCACTACTAAAAAAAACAGTGAATACTGACCTAAAAATTTCTGACCTCAAATGGAGGTCGGTAATTTCCGACCTCCGGAGGTCGGTATTACAAGTAGTCGGTTTTTATGCAAAATAAAGCGGGAAAACCAAATTCCGACCTCTGGAGGTCGGAATTTTTCCCGAAAAATATGAATTACAATAAAAACTGACCTTTTGATGTCGGTATTAAACAAATAAATAAATAACAATATATTTATTTTTTCTCAATAGGTTTTGTGTAAAAAAAATAACAAAAAAAATTATAATACCGACTTCCGTATGTCGGTAAAATTAAATAGTA